AGGCTGTTTAAAAAAAAAAGGGGGGGGGGGGAACAATTATATAAAGTACTGCAATTGTAACTGCAAAATGCTGCTCAGTCAATGAACTAGTCTTAAATTGAGACCCCCCCTCCCCCCGGGCAAAAAACAACAACCCATCACTGAATGGTAACTTTAATGTCCCTCCCCCAAAACAAATTCCCACAGCCCCTATTAACACTTACCTGGCGCTTTAGCTGAACCCACGTCCCTTTCTCTTTGGCTTCCTTCTTTTTCTGATCATTTTCCTTCACTCGCTTCAGGAAGCTGTCTCGGCTCTTAGAGTGCTTAATATGCTCGATGCGCACATTAATTCTCTTGGCAAGAATCTTACCCCTAGAGAAAGCAAAAATTCTTTTAAAGGCTTCATCAAAAAAACAAAGAAAGAAAGAAAGAAAGAAAGAAAGAAAGAAAAACCCAAATTTGGAAAATTTTTGTTATTTTCTGGAAAAAACTTTGAGGCAAACATCCCCAATTCTTAGGCTCTCTTCCTATTAAGAGAACACCCCCTAAACTACAAAAAAAAAAAAAAAGCCAGACTGCTAAAACTGACTTCTAAAATGGCTCTTTTAAAAAACACTCTGAAAACAAGAACTGCTTAAGCAGAACTTTCCAGAAAGTTCATTTGAACTTGTTTCCTCTGACAGGATACAAGACAAACATTCAGTTTGCCTGAGTTTTAAAAAGGATTTTTTTTGCCCCGCTTGAATGACCAATAAAGACATAAGTCCCACTGGCAAAGTGAAAAGGGGGTAGGAAGTTTAGCCCAAAGGAAGGACATCACGTACTTGACTTGCTTGTTCACGACAATGCCGACAGCATGCTGGGTCACATTGTAAACTCTTCCAGTTTTGCCGTGGTAACATTTGTGGGGCATGCCTTTTTGAACTGTGCCCATTCCCTAGGAGAAAGGACAAAAATGCTACACCAACAGTTTTGACACCCTTCGACCCTCCAACACACACACACACACACACACACACACCACCACCACCAATGTCAACCTAAGAGTTTTCAGAGCCGGTGAAATGGGTTTTTCACATTGCTTCAAAGCAATCAAAGCGACAATCATCACAATACACTCTGTTGTGTGGTGGTCACAAACCAGATTCCAACAGCATTTTAAAGTTACCTTGATGTCCACAATATCGCCTTTCTTGTAGATTCGCATGTATGTGGCCAAAGGAACGACCCCTGCAAAACATTTTAGTAGTTAGCATCAAGGTTAAGAAAATTTTTAGCATTTCGAAAATAAAAAAGGCGATCATAACAGTCTTCAACACACAATTTTAACAGGTAACATAAGCAATTTTTAATAAGGTAGCTATTTGTTTCATCATGTAGCTAATACATGACGACCGCTGTAATAAAATACTACATCTCCTCTCCTACTTACCATGCTTTCTGAAAGGCCTGGAGAACATATAGCGGGTACCCCGCCTCTTTCCCTTTGTGTTCGTCATCTTGGGGGATTACTGCAAGCAGAAAATATAAAGGTAAATAAACGTCATTCAAGACAGTAGATTTGACCATCCACACAAGAAGCCTGTCATCTCAGATGTCTGTGGTTTACTTGTAACGTGAAACAACTAGGGAATAATGTAAAAAGCCGGCTCACTTTACCCTTCAAAAACAACAAGTCTACCCAAACAGCCGACGTTCTAAAAAACATGAAAACACATTTTATTCGTGTACCCAGTCCATGCTTTTTAACAGAAAAGTGAAGAACTAGGGTTGGGATTATATGAGCTATTGAAAGCAAGTAAGAAAAGCAGTTTTCCCTATGACACCGACAAGGATTACACGAAGTTAGACTCAACTGGAAATTAGGACCCCTACTAGTACAAAATCCTTATTAAAACGTAAAGGCACAACGCGACTTGGACCTGGATAGAGATCTAGCTCTAGCCGGAGACACCGGGCTGAGACCCTGGGCCGCCCGTCTTTCTCGGGATCCAGGGAGAAACCACGTTCCGGGGGTCCCGATGGGAGCACCCCCACCTCCCAGCACAGCCCGGAGCCTTATAGGGTTTCACACGCGCTCCCGCCGCCGCCGCCACGCGAACAAGCTGCGCTAAATGACCCCGGAGCGTCCGAAAGGTTCGGGACTGAAGTTGTCTGTCCCGCTGCAGCATCTTATAGTCCGATCCCCAGATCCCGGCCTCCGCTCCAGTTCTGGGTGATGGCTTCACCCGCTTCCGCCTGAAGACCCCAGAATGGACAAAGAGCATCCCCGGGACCCCGAATGCGCTGCTTAGGCGGTCTCAGAGCGGGGACTCCCGTCTGCGGAGCCCAGAAAACCAGAGCCACGCGCACACCATACCTGCAAGATGGCGGCACCGGCCGAAAGGAAGAAGGCGGGGTCACGGCGCGCGACTTACAAGGGCCTGCGGGCTGCCCGCCGCGCTGCCTGAGTGAAATGCCAGCCGAAAGCGGCTCGTTCCTACGGAAGCGGATCGTTCCTGAGAACAAGAAAGGTCTGTGAAGAGAGTTTCCTGTTTTGAAAAAAGATAGCTAATCAACCAACAATAGCTGACACTTGAATTTCGTCAGACAACCCGGAAGGGGGCCTTCAAAGGCATCAATAGGACGCGACGTCGAGCGTGCCCATATCAGCCTCTGCGTCAGAGTCGACGTCGGAAGCATGCGTGCGTGTGAGCTCGCTGGCAGGAGGGAAGGGCTAATTCTGCGGGGGTCTGAACCTGTAAAAGTGCCCCGAAATTTTTTTTTTTTTTTTAAATCATCATGTGAACGCAAAAAGCATGCTGTCCTGAGCAAAGGTATTATCCAGTTTGTCTGTCATTTCAGGGGTTGTACAGCTTTCCCACGTGCCTATGCCTGTGCAACTGCTGGTGCGTGCGTACATGGTTACCACCGATTTGGAAAGCAATTTGGCAAAATCTGGTAAAATTGAAAGTTTCGAATGCTAAATTCCAAGCCAATATTTGGCGTGGCGCCGCCGTTAGATAAGTCTGGGCTGTTAACCACAAGGTCGGCGGTTCAAGCCCACCCGCCGCCCTTCGGAAGCCCTACACCGGGCCGCTGAGCTCCTTAGAAACCAGCATGGCCAAACTTCATCACTCCTACTCTGGACGTGATGTCAGAGGGGCCAGTCCCTGGAGATGGACATCACGTTTGGTAAAGTGGAAGGTCAACGGAAAAGAGGAAGACCCCCCAATGAGATGGATGGCAAACCGGATGCAGCGATGGGCAAATCATCTGTGCCGAGGGTCGCTGAGTCAGAACCGACTGGACCGCAGCTAATAACATGAGTGGGAACTGATTCGATGGCATACAACACTGCCTCAATTATGTCCTAGCGAAACTTTCTAGGACAAAGTTTCACAAGTGGCCAGAGAGGTACATGATTGCTCTATGCGTGGTTACGTGCCATGGAGTCGGTTCCAACTCATAGCCACCCTGTGCAGGGTTTCCAAGGCTGTAAATCTTTACAGAAGCAGAAAGCCTCGTCTTTCTCCCACGGAACCGATGGTAGTTTGCAACTGCTGACCATGAGATTAGCATCCTGACTCGGAACCACCAGCTACCTGTGCTCCTTGCTCTATGTGTAGAAGCAAGAAAAAAAATTAAACTACACATCGATAAGGGAATCAATACATTACGGAATGTCTGTACAAAGGAGCTCTGGTAGCGTAGTGGTTACCAGTTGGGCTGCGAACTGCAAGGTCAGCAGTTTGAAACTACCAGCTGCTCCGCGGGAGAAAGATGAGGCTTTCTGCTCCCATAAAGATTTATAGCCTCGGAAACCCTGTACAGGGTCGCTGTGAGTCGGAACCGAGTCCACGGCACATACAATGGAGTATGACAGGCCAGCAAAAGAAGAGTAAGCTCAGGTGTATGATGACGAGACCAAAAAAACAGAACAATGTGGAGGAAGTATTGGCCCAGTTGACTGTGGGTGGGAGCTGACTAATGGCACCTAACAATGCCATAGTCAAAACCTGTCAGGGCTCAGCGATTTCAGAACCTTTAAGACACACTCGTCTCTTCATTCACCTCCCAGTCTGTTTTGAGTTCACTTTAATTTGCCTTCTGCCCCAGTCACACCCCTGAAACAGCTCTTGTCAAGGGCACCAACTACGTCCACTTTGCCAGACTGAGACCTTCCTGGCCTTGCCTTCCTGGGTCTCTCAAGTCCATCAGACACTGCTGGCCCCTCCTTTCTCCTTGAAGCCTTCCCACTGCACTGTCTAGTTTACTATTTTGTTTTGTTTTTCCTCTGCCAATCGTGGTCAAAGGAGTCTGTTGGTATAGTAGGTTAGGCATTGAGCTTCTAAAAGGTCAGTGGTTCAATCCTTCCCGCTGTTCCTTGGGAAAAAGATGAATCTGTCTGCTCTTGTAAAAGATTTACAGTCTTGCAAACCCTATCTAGGGTCTCCATGAGTTGGAATCAACTCAGCAGCAGTAGGTTTGGGTTTTTGTTTTTTACCAGCCCTGGTTCTACAATGCTTCAGTGCTTGCCTACAAAACCACATGTGGTGGTGGTGGTGGTGTGCCATGGAGTCAGTTCCGACTGGCAACCTTGCATAGGGTTTCCGAGGCTATAAATCTTTATGGGAGCAGAAAGCCTCACCTTTCTCCCATGAAACGGCTCAAATTGCTGACTTTGAAGTTAGCAGCCAGACTCATTACCACTCTGGTACCAGAGCTTTCAGACCTACACAGTAGCTTTATAAAACCTATTGCTCTGCCCCATAAATAGTACAGCCTAGAAAACCTTATAATGCAGCTGGGTTCTGTCATACAGAGTTGCTGTGCTGAAAGCTGACTGCATAGCATCCAACAGTACACACATGATGAAGGTAAAGTAAGCACACATAAGCCAGCACTCACCTTGCTGAGTGGGTACTCAGTCCCTCTCAGGGATAATGGATTTGAGAAGAGGCACTCATTCTATAGGAAGGTGCTCTGGGGTTGGGAGAGAGACAGATGCCAGCCATGTCTGGAAGCAGAATCTGATGCAATGAAAAAAGAATGGGGAATTGTTCACTACAGATGAGTAAGTAAGCCATACTTACTGCTGTTAGGTAATCCGACACTGCCTGTCCTCTGGAGAGTAGACCTTGGTAGGATTTGGGGCTAAGGGTCTGCTCCTTCCTTCAGCTCTCCCCAGGTAATCCCATCATTCCTATAAGTTGCAATGTTCTCTCCACCCGGCCCACTGATAGACGGGCTGCTTTAATTCAGGCCTCTCCTCTCCTCCACACTTCGGCTCAACCTGGCATCTCTTCATGGAGACCCTTTAGCATTTCAAAACTGACATGTACTCACTCACCCTGAAACCTGTTTCTTCTATAGTATTTTCCGTGTCAATAAATGGTACAAACCGGAAGCCTAGGTTTCATATTGAAGTTCTCCCTTACCCCTCCATGTCCGACCTACCCACAACTTATTTTTTTTATTTTTATTTTTTGCCTTTTCCCAAGGATCATTTGCAAAACATATCCCCCAAGGTGGTCTCTTTCTGTCTTTGGACCCAGCCCCTGGACCCCAGCAAGGAGCCCACTCTGGTTGCTGGCTCCATTCTTTCCCGTTCCCCATTTGTCTTCCTTATAATAGCCAGAGTGCTCTTTTTAACACCAACCAATCATACCAAGGGGCTCTGGTAGCGTAATGGTTACAAATTGGGCTGCTAATCTCAAGGTCAGTTCCACAGGAGAAAGATGAGGCTTTCTGCTCCTGTGAAGATTTACGGCCTCGGAAAGCCTGTACAGGATTGCTATGGGTTGGAATCGACTCGACAGCACTTAACAACAATCATAGCACACGCTTCTTTAAGGTCTCCCAAAGGCTTTCCATTGCTTTTAGAATAAAATCTAAATTAATTGTCCTGTTTTTTAAGGTCTGCATAAATTTCTTGTTATTAAGTGCCGTGAAGTTGGTTCCAACTCAGCAACCCTGTGTAAGGTTTCCAAGGAATGGCTGGTAGGTTTGAAGTCTCACCTTTCAGTTCAAACCAATCTCGTGGTCCAAACACCAGGACTCCCTGCAGATAAACTAGTGCTTGCCTGTCTCTCCAGCATCTCTTCCTCCCTGTCTTCATTGTCTCTCCCACTGCCGCCTTTACTTCTTTCCCACCTCAGGATCTTTATGTGTGTGGTATCCTTTGCCCGTCAAGTAGCCCTTTCTTTCTCAGCTGCTGGCTCCCTGGAAGAGGTCATGCCTGTTATTGTTAGGTGCTGTTGAGTTGGTTCAGATTCCTAGTGACCCCACGTACAACACAACAAGACACTGCCTGGTGTTGAGCCACTCACAATCGTTGCAATGTTTGAGCCCTTGGTTGTAGCCACTGTGACAGCCCATCTCACTGAGGGGCTTCTCTCTCTCTCTTGGTTACCCCTCAACTTCACCAAGCATGATGTCCTTCTGCAAGGAATCTACTGGATGGCATTGGGTATTGGGTTTGATTTTCCTGTGTGCTAGTAAACACATTACTAATACC